ATTTGCCGGGCGTGAGAGGGGGGAGGGGGCGGGGCGGGGCGGGGGCGGGGCGGGGGCGGGGGCGGGGGGTGCGTGCCAAGTCTCTCGGGGCCGGCGGGGAAGAGGGGGGCGCAAGAGGTGCGCAAGAGCGGCGCGAGAAGGGTGAGGAGTGGACGAGCGAATACGGCCGGGGTGTGTCGGCCGGGGAGCCTCCGGCGGGCCTGCGGCGCGGGGCGCTGCGCGCGGCAAGCTTGCCGGAGTGTGGCCGCAGCAACAGCCTCCGGCGGGCCTCCGGCGGACGCCTAGCGGCGTGGCGCGGCGCGCCGGCGCTCGCGCGCCCGCGGAAGCAGCCGGGGTGTGTCGGCCGGGGAGCCTCCGGCGGGCCTGCGGCGCGGGGCGCTGCGCGCGGCAAGCTTGCCGGGGTGTGTCGGCCGGGGAGCCTCCGGCGGGCCTGCGGCGCGGGGCGCTGCGCGCGGCAAGCTTGCCGGGATGTGTCGGCCGGGGAGCCTCCGGCGGGCCTGCGGCGCGGGGCGCTGCGCGCGGCAAGCTTGCCGGGGTGTGTCGGCCGGGGAGCCTCCGGCGGGCCTGCGGCGCGGGGCGCTGCGCGCGGCAAGCTTGCCGGGATGTGTCGGCCGGGGAGCCTCCGGCGGGCCTGCGGCGCGGGGCGCTGCGCGCGGCAAGCTTGCCGGGATGTGTCGGCCGGGGAGCCTCCGGCGGACGCCTGGCGGCGTGGCGCTGCGCGCCGGCGCGGCCGCCATTCGAAAGAGGCTCGACTGCATCTTCAAACGCATCGAATTCGCAGATTTTTCGCCCCTATCAGTTGTACAGCTCGCGGAGGAGCAAGAGAGAGAGAGAGCAAAGGGCGCCCGATTTTAGCGCTGCGCGCGGCCGGGCAAAAACTCAAAACAAATCGATCGATCCCTCGCTGGTCTTGTTTCTCTTTCTCTTAAGACGATTCACAAGCGTAGCGTTCTCGTGGCATGGGGCCGCATCCCACTTGCGGCGGAGAGAGAGAGTTTGTTTTGTTTTTGCGGCGGTGATGTAGGTGAAACAAAGAGGCGGTGGGAGCTCGAGCGATTCCAGATTTTGCCCCTTGGCCTGTCCGAGGGTTTCCTCTCGCACCCTACCTGGTTTCCTTTCCGTGTTTCCTGCTCGTTTCCCTACAACACCCTCTAGTTTCCTCGGGAAACCCCGGGGAAACTCCGTGGAATTCGTCATTTTGGGGGGGCTCTGAGCCGTGTCTGAGGCTGTTTTGGGGCCAAAATCGGCAAAATACCGGGTATTTTGCGGGTATACCTGGAAAACCCCGGTATACCTGGAAAATACCTGGGTATCGTGCCGATTTCCTCAATTTTGCCCCAGATTTTGCCCCAGACCAGCTCTCAGACTCAGGGAAACTCGCGAGTTTCCCGAGGGAAACTCGAGAGAAACAGAATGGAGCACCAAACACCCTCTGGTTTCCCTGGAAACTTCCGGAAACGCAAAGTGCTGGGGACCCTCTGGTTTCCCTCTGGGTTGCCGGAAACCCTCGGACAGGCCAATTTGCCCCAGACCAGCCAGCTCTCAGACTCAGGGAAACTCGCGAGTTTCCAAAATTGAGCACCCTCTGTTTTCCCTGGAAATTTCCGGAAACGCAAAGTGCTGGGGACCCTCTGTTTTCCTTTTTGTTTTCCGGAAACCCTGCTCTAGCCCAACGAGCGACACACAGACACAAACAGGCTCACAAGACACACAGCCAGCGGGCTGCCACACACCCTGAGTTGGCGTACACATAACTCAAGGCCACATCCTCCCTGTCGCCCCCCCCAAGAACAAACAAGGGGATAGAGCAGCCTTGCTCCACCTCTAGCAATCTCGCCGGAAGCAGAGAAGGTGGTCGAGAAAAGAAAAACAATGCAGAGTGCTCAGGTTTGCTGTCCTCTCAGGCCTTGACTTCCGCTGGATGCTCCCTTCTTCCGAGACGAGCCGCCTCCCTTCTTCGGCCCCGATTGCGCCTCTCCCGCCCTCCTCCGCTGCTCATGGCCGACACGCCTCCGCGGCCGCGCTGGCCGCGGCGTGGCGGCCTCGACGCGTCGCCGCCTCGGCTCACGCCGCGCCGCTCGCTCGCAGCCGGCGGCGAGGCGGCGCTGCTGCGTGAGCAGCTTGATGCTCTCAGGGATGAGGCCGACAGGCTGCGAGAGGAGAACCACGCCTTGCTCAAGCAGAGGGCCGCCGCCACCCCGTGCAGCTCTGCCAAAGTGTCGGCGAGCCCTTTCTATCGATCGAGCGAACCTGGCGGCGTGGACCTGTATGCGCCGGCAGGAGCTGAGGTCAGTGCGGGCGGCGGCGGCGGCCGCCGAACGGGCGAGGGGCCGCCGCAGTGTCATCTCCTCAACCTCTTCACTCCCCCCTCTGCGGCCGCACCGTCGGCCACTGCCGCAGCCGGTCTCGCCTCGCTGCACGCGGCGGGCCAGGCGGCCGGCGCGAGGTATTCGGCTTGTCGCGCGAGCTCTATGGACGGCTCGCCGAGGAACTCGTTGGCAAGCTCGGCGGATGACACCTCCCGACCGACCCCCTCCCCCTTCAGCTCGCCGCAGAGGCTTCAGCCTCCGCCGCCGATGGCGCAGCCCCTGCCGCCGCCAATGATGCTGCAGCCTCCGCCGCTCCCAGCTCCGCAAACAGTGCCGCCGCCGCCGCTTGCGCCGCCGCCGGCGGACGCGGTGCTCGTGGCCGGAGGGGCGGGGCTGTCTCCCATCCTCTCCGAGCGCTCCACCCCGGGCTCGCACCTCCAGGCGCGCAGCGGCGGAAAGATCTCGGCTCATCTCGGCCAGTCTCGGCCCATCTCGGCTCATCTCGGCTCCTCTCGTTCCTCTCGGCAACTCTCGGCTCCTCTCGGCTCACCTCGGCTCACCTCGGCTCAGCTCGCCTCACCTCGCCTCGGCCTGCAGGCGCAGCGGCTGACTCCGCTCAGCCTGCAGACGTCTGCCGGCTCCCAAAAGTCGAGCGAGCGGGAGACGCCGCGGCGCAGCCTGCTCGACGAGGACGTGACTAACCCGGAGCTGCTGCGCAACCTGTCCTCCGCCTCCCTCATCCCCGAGGCCGAGCTCTTGCCGCCGCTCCTCGGCTCGGCACTTGTCCTTGAGCCGCGGCCCTTCTCCTCGTAGGACGAGCTCTTCCGCCGCTCCTCCCTCGACGGCTCCTCCGACGACGCGGAGAGCGCGAGGGAGCTCGGCAGGAAGCCTGGAGCAGGGCAGCCTGGAGCAGGCGCCGGCTGTGGGTACCCACCCCGTGTCCGGGTGGCGGGGGAGGGCGGCGCGCGTGCGCAGAGGACGCACGGGGGCGGGGGTCGCCCCCTCGTCGGGCCGAGGGGAGGGAGCCGCTTCTTTGCCCCGCGCGACGCCGCAGAGCGCGCGGCTGCGGGCGGCGGGCCCTCGCCGCCGGCGGAGCTGGGCAAGACGCCGGGGGGGACGCGCCGCTTTCTGCTGCAGGAGCCCTTCCGGCGGATCGGCTCGCTGACCCCGCGCGGGTTCGGGTCGATGCCGCGCTTCCCGCACGGGGCGGTGTCGGCCGCCGCAGAGCCGGCCGCCGGCGCGGACCTCTCCACCCCTCCGGGCAGCGGAGGGAGCAGCAGCCTGCGCAGCGCGAGCGGCGGCCGGCAGCGCCTCATCGTGTCGGTGACGTCGTGCACGACCCGCCGCATCGCCGGCAGTGCCGAGCTGTGCGATGCCCTCAAGGAGCTGCACGCCCTCGCCTCCTGCGGCGGCGACCTCGGCGAGCCGTCTTTTGGGACCCCGCGCCTCTGCTCTCTCTCTCTCGCACTCTCTCTTCACACCTCCCCGCTGTGACACAGGCGAGCCCTCCCTCGGCCGAGCGAAGCTCGCGGCCCGCCGCAGCTCATCCGGGCTGGCGCCCCACCCGTCCGCCACCGGGAGCAGCCCGCCGGACCGGAGCCCTCCGAAGCGCGTGCTGGCCGGCGGCGAGGCGCGGCGAGGGGGGGGGGACGCCGCCGCCAGCGACGCAGGCCTCGAGCTGGCGACGGTGCAGGGCGCGTGCGCCGGCGCCGAGTCCTCCAAGGAGCTCGCCGGCTCTCGCACGGTGGAGCAGGAGCGCGGGCTCGGACCCCTCTCTCGGACCCTTCCTAGGCGCGGCGTCGGCTCTCACAGCTCGCCGAGCGGATGTCGTCCGCGATGGACTCTCTCGGAAGCTCCGTCCTCTCCGGCCCCTCCTCCCTCGCGCCGCTCTCCCCCACAGGGGTGTGGGTGGCGTCTCGTGAGTGTCCCTCGGAGCCGTGGCGCCGTAGGAATCTCCGGCCGCTACTCGTCGGCCCGCCTCTCAGGACGCTTCGGCTCCGGTCGCCTCTGAGGGTGGACGCACTCCTTCGACAACCGGGACGCCTCTCCGACCCTTCTCCGGCCCTTCCTCTAGGCCGCATCTCCCTCTCGGGCCGGATGTCCTCCTTCGACGAGGGCAGCGGCGACGAGACGGGAGCGCTCGTCCCCTCGGGCGGCAGCGGGCGGCGGCAGCAGCTGGTGAGACTGCGGCGGCTCGATTGGGCCCTCGCCGTGAGAGAGAGCACCCCCCCCTCACACCGCGTGTGTGCGCGCGCGACAGGTCGACGTGGCAATCGAGTGGCCCGAGCTCGGCATCAAGGTCGACAGCTTGCTCGGCGACGGGATGCAGGCGCTGCCCGCCTCGCAGCTGCTGCAGCACGACCAGGCGCCTCTCATGAGGCTGGTGCGAGAGAGGGTTGCCAGGCGAGCGCTCGCCCCTAGACACCTGCTGACACGTCCGAGACTCTTGCGCACCTCCTGACACACCCGACACCTCGTAGACACTTCCCAGACACCCCCTGCCGAGATTGGCTTTCTATAGACGGGTCCGATGTTGCTGCCCGCCCCACCCCCTGCCCTGCCCCTGCTCAAGAGAGTGTTTGGACGGCGACACCGCCGCGACGGGACTGGTGCCACCTGCTAGGCTGCGCAAGCTCGCGGGCGCCGCGGAGGCCCAGCCGAGTGCGGGTTACCAGGTCTTTGTCGAGACGGGATCGAGCTTCTTGAGCTGGCGCGCAGCTCGCCGAGATTAGACGAGATTCGCCGAGATTCGCCGAGATTCGCCGAGAGTCGCTTTCTGAGCTGGCGCGCGGCTTCGTCGCACGGCGGGGCCGCATGCGCGCGACCGCCTTCGAGAGAGTGCGCGGGCGTGTGGCGCCTGTAGGCTCGAGCGGCTCCCGATGTCGCAGCGGCTGCTCATCTTCAGCTGCCTCCTCGAGGCGCTCCTGCTGCTCATCTATGGCGAGCTCCCTCGCCGCGCGGCCGAGGCTGACACCGCCCTACGTGTTTCCCTCACTTCCCTTGCCGCGAGCAGGCGTGCTCTCGTTTGTCGACGCGGCCAACTATGCGAGGAGGCTGTACAAGGCGTCGCGACACCGCCTGTGCGCCTGCTTCTCCCAGCGTCTCCTCACAGCCCGAGGTGTCGGGGCAGGCGACGCGTGCCGCATGCCCGCTCGAGTGCGACGGCGACGGGTGCGACAAGTCCGGCTCGCTGGGGCCCAACGCCACCGCCGCGGAGCTCCGCGTGGCGTCCATCCTAGCCGACCAGAGCGGCGGCGGACGGTGGCCAATCTTGGAGGCGGGGCGCACTCTCTTGCGGCGGGCGGCGGTGAACGGCAGCAGCGAGCCGGAGGCGTATGCGTCCGAGATCCGATTCGGCGGTATGGCGCAGCTGTCGGCACCGGATGCGGAGGCGCTTCAGGCGACGATACAGAGCACGGTTCCGGAGATGATGGGCCCAGGTGCGCTCCCTCGCCCCCCTCCCTGCCCCCTCCTGCCCCCCTCGCCCCCCCGCCCTGCCCCCCTCTGCCCCTCGCCCCCCCGCCCTGCCTCCCTCGGCCCCCCTCGCCCCCCCTCCCTCGCCCCCCTCTGCTTTTCGGGCCCCCCCGCCCTGCCCCCCCCTGCCCCCCTCGCC